AAAACAAGGAACTAATAAAATATTATACAAAATGGATGACCCTGGAGGACATCCGGCTGAGTGAAATATCTTAGTCACAAAAGGACAAATAATGCATAATGCCACTGTTGTAAAACAGGACTGACATTGGGATTGGGGAGGAGGAATTAAGAAAAGAGGAACGAATGATGTATACTGCACAGAAACAGATGAGGGAAAGAACTGCTTAAAGGGAATATATGATTAGGTATTATTTGTGTAACAGTCCAGAATAAGAGCAGCATAATAAAGTGGGCTGGGTTGCGGATGGAGAATGGTAACACAATGAAAGATTTTTTTTTCAAAGAGAAAAGTGAACTGGGGGTGGGTTGGGAGGAAAATGTGCAACAATGAATGAATGGAAATCCAAGTTCTCTAAACTTTCATTAAAATCTCAATTAAAAAAAGAGAATAGATAAAAAAGAAAATAAAATATTTTATATTTGAAAAAGTAATGGATGTCAAAAGGAAAACAGAAATAAATATTAAGAAATTATCAGCTAGAGTAATATTTACTTACAATCTTTTATGTTTTTATTCACTCATATTTTAATTGTTTTGCACCTACCAAGTGACACCTGTAAAAACATCATTCACATCATTCAGTTTAAAATTTGTATTATCTTCATGGTAACTGAGAACCTCTACATTTTGTTTGTACCTAACTCTTTGTTGTTGTTGTGTATCATAGAATCAGAAGGGACCCATAACTGCTTCTCTGGTGGGTTTCAAAGGCAGTTAATCAAATAGGAGGAGATTACCCATCCTTCTCTGGGGAGCAGCTGGTGACTTCAAACTGTGTGTTTTCAGGATTGCAGTGCACCTTCTTGCCATTAGACTACCAAAGCTCCCTAACACAGTACAATTAAAATAGTCTTATGGCTAGTGCATAGTTAATTGTTACTGTTGCTATGTGCCATCAATTTGGAACTGACTCATAACTGACCCTCCAGTGTGTTTTCAGATGCAGTAAATTCAACCTCAGAACAGGTGGTGGATTTGAACTGTTTCTTTGGATTGGAAGCACAACTTTTTATCCACTAGATCACCAGGGGTGTCTGGTAAGGGAAATATTCAAAACGAATAGTTATTTAGACCACATTGTACATCTAGCTGATTAGACTAACCTACACTGACAATGTCCATAAGGTTTTTTGAAGGCTTGTAATTTTCAGAAGTGGATAACAAAATTTGCTTCCTTGTCTGTCTTATTCTGGAAGCTGCAGACAGATTATCCGAGAGGCGGGGCTCTATGAGGAGAGGCATGGCGTTAGGATTGGTGGACAATCGATCAACAATCTGCGTTATGCGGATGACACAACCTTGCTCGCTGAAATTGAGGAGGACCTCATGCACTTACTGCGGAGGGTCAAGGACTGCAGCCTTCAATATGGACTGAGGCTCAGTGTCAAGAAGACAAAAATTCTCACCACTGGACCAATCGGTAGCATCAGGATGGATGGCGAAGAGATTGAGATTGTTCACAGCTTCAGTTTGCTCGGCTCCACGGTCAATGCTCTTGGCACCAGTAGCCAGGAAATCAAAAAACGTATTGCGATGGGAAAGTCTGCGGTTAGGGACCTCTCCAAAATACTCAAGAGCAACAGTGTCTCTCTGGAGACTAAGGTGTGCCTGATACAGGCCATGGTTTTTGCAATCACTTGTTATGCATCAGAGAGTTGGACAATGACTAGGGAGGATAGAAGGAGAAATGACGCCTTTGAGCTGTGGTACTGGAGGAGAGTATTGAATGTACCATGGACTGCCAAGAAAACAAACAGATTCATCAGAGAGAGGATTAAACCAGGCTGCTCCTTGGAGGCAAGGATTCTGGGGCTTCGTCTGACATACTTTGGACATGTTGTAAGGAGAGACAGGTCTTTGGAGAGGGACATCATGCTGGGTAGAGTGGAGGGACAGCGCAGGAGGGGAAGACCCTCTATGAGGTGGATTGATTCAGTGACTGGGGTACTCGGGATGGGTGTGTCAGAGGAAATGAGATTGGCACAGGATAGAGCACGGTTTAGGGCTGTTGTACATGGGGTCGCTATGAGTCGCAAACGACTCGACGGCACATAACAACAACAAGGGTGATCCTGTTTGTATTTGCAATACCAGTGACACAGTTTCTGGTATCACAACACACATATCACCAAAGTATGTCAAACTGAAACACAGATATCAAGGAAATATAAATTCTCGCCATCTGACCAGTAGGCAACATAATGATAGATGGAGAAAAGACTGAAGTTACCAACTATTTAATTTTATTTAGATCCACAGTCAACACCCATAGGAGCAGCAGTCAAGACATCGAAAGATGAATTACATTGGAGAAATCGGCTGTCAAGAATCTCTCCAAAACACTAAAGAGCAAGGATGTCCATTTTAAGACTAAGGTGCACCTGATCCAAACTATGGTCTTTTCAATTGCTTTCCATGTATCTGAAAGTTTGACAATGAATAACAAAGATCAAAGAAGAATCAATGCCTTTAAACTGTGGTGTTGCTGAAGAGTATTGAATATATCATGGACTCACAAAATAGCAAAAGATCTGTCTTGGAAGTGCATCTAGAGTGCTTCTTAGAGACAAGGATGGTGAAATTACACCTCACATACTTTGGGCATTTTCTCAGGAGGAACGAATCCTTGGAAGGAGGCATCATGCTGAGAAAGGTGGAGGGTCAGGGAAAGAGAAGCAGCCCTCCACAAGATTTATTGACACAGTGAATACCACAATGAGCTTGAACCACGATGAGCTTGAGTGTGACAGCGATCATGAAGATAGTGCAGGGTAATGTTCATATCTGTCATTCATAGTGTCACAATAAGTAGTAGTCATCCTAAAGGTACCAAACACCTCTACCACCACTACCATTTCGTTGTTATTGTTTTGTGTTTTTTAGGTAAAAGACACACACACACATACACACACACAAACACTTCAAATAATACGAACATCAAAAACTTGAAGCTTTTAATGGTAAAATACTTCCCTGTTGCTCAACTGATGTTAAGTGGCATTGGCTCCTGGTGAATAGGTTGAATTAGCTACAAAAATGTACACATAGATAATTGAATAAATTGATGTGCAAGACTGGATAATATCAACTAAAAATCAATTTTGGTTTTGGAATAATGAATAATAATATGCCCTCTCTGGATGTACAGTGATTAGAAATCTGACTCAATGACTTCTTGATATAAATTTTTATTCCATCATCTTTATTTATTTTCTAACTCAGATAGATAGAAAGGGACTGAAAAGACTATGTTTAAGCTTCACATTTACATCATTGCTCCCCAACATTTTAGATAGATCCTTGATAGCAGACTTGCCCTTGCCCAATGCACTGTCTTCTGACTGCTGGTACTAAAGGTGTTGATTGTGGATCCAAGTAAGATGAAGTCATTGACAGTTTCAATCATTTTCCATCTAGATGGACTCAGTGGTGTTGTTAGGTGCCCTCAAATTAACTTCAACTCATGGAGGCCCTATAAACAGCAGATCCAAACCTTGTCCTATCTTGTTCCATTCTCATGGCCTCCAATATACTGAAGCCCATTGATACAGTCTCTGTGCCAATCCACCTTGAGGATCTTTCTCATTCTCTGACCCTGCACCTTTTTTCAGAATACTGTCTTTTTCCAAGGATCATCCTCTCCTGATAGATGAAAAAGCCCAAAGTTATCATCATCCTTGCCTCTAGGAAACACCTTAGTTGCACTTCCTCCAAGTGTTGTTATTGTTAAGCACTGTTGACTATGCATCATAGGGACTCTAAACACAACAAATTTGAACCTTGCCCTTTCCATCCTTATACTTGAGATCAGTTTTATAATCAACTGCGCCAATCTCTCTTGTTGAGGGCCTTCTTCTCGGTTACTGACATTTCCTAGCATAGTGTATTTTCCTAAGGACTGATCTCTTCTGAATATAAGCCCAAAGTATGTGAGATGAACTTTCACATTCCTTGCCTCTGAGGAGCAATTTGGTTACATTGACTTCAAGATAGATTTATTTATTCTTTCGGCAGTCCACAGGGTATTCAGAACAGTTCATATGCACCAACTCTTCTTGGGTCTTTTTTATTCATTATACATCTATTAGATGCATAGGAAGCAATTGAAAACACCATGGCCAACATCAGGTGCACTTCAGTCTTTAAGCTGATATCCTAGTTCATTAGAATTTTAAAGAGGTCCTTAATAGCAGAGATCCTCTATGCAACACTTCTGTTGATTTCTTGACTAACATCCCAATGAGTGTTGACTGTGGACACAAGCAAAATCAAATTGTCGACAACCTCAATGTTCTCAGTGGCCAAAAGGAAAACTGCAGCTATGGCTGCAGGAAGTGCAAGTGAGCTAGGGGCTATCGAGTGTAGACCCTAGAGGGCTAGACAGAAGACAGGCACCAAGAGTAAAACTTCTGAGGGAGAGAGGGCATTTAAATCAGCTCGCCCACGTGGGTGGGAACTGGGAAGAGTGAGTGGGCCGGCTGGCTCGGGTGGAAGGGCGAGGGAACGTGCGCGCGGGCTCGTTGGCGGGAGTGCGCGGGTGTGTGCGCGCGCGGGAGCGTGGTGTGCGCGGGCGTGCGCACTGGCGGGCCGGCCGCGAGGTTAGCGGGGGCGTGCGCTGGCACGCTGCCGAGGGTGGAAGAGCGTGCGCGCTGGCTCGCTGGCTGGGTTAATGGGGGAGTGCACGCCGACCAGCCGGCGGGAATGGGGGCGAGCGCGCGCACTGGCTCGTTGGAGGCGTGAGGGGGCGGAGCCGTGTCGCCGACTGAGCCCGCCCCGGGGACTGCCAAGGTGCGTCTCCAAGCTGACGCTGTCGCCTGGGGCAGAGCGAGTGGGACGCGCTGCCTGCAGTGCTGACTGGTGCTCTGTATTTACTAGGAAACACTGGTTCCCCGCGGGAGAGCTCGGGAACGCGCAGACACACACATACACACACGCGCGCTAGCGCGTTGTTGTTCACAACTGCATTCCCCAAACCGGCAGTGCGAAGCTACTGCGGTTTCTCTTAATCTCAGCATCGTGGGGTGAAGCAGAGCCTTTGTGCATCAGAGAGCCCAGTGCCAGCGCTGCTGCCTCGGGTACCTAACCCAGCAGACCGGTCACCCTATCGGGTAAGCCAGTCTCTCTCCTTGTAACCTGTTCGGGGTTGGTGCCTGCAGATGGAGGGAGAGGGTGGAAGGCTACTGGTGCACCAGTGGGGGCGAGTCTCGGAGTTGAAATTTCAGAAGCATGCAGCCCCAGCAGCCTCTACCAGCGTCGACTAGCGGGAGCAATTACTACTCTGGTTACTTGTTCTACCAAAATTGGAGTTGCTTCCCCTAGTCTCCTTTTCCTCCCAACCCAATATGAAAGGCGCTTGAGCTTCTTAGTTGCCAGGGAGACTTGCTTAAACAGCCTTGGGACAGCTATTGAAGGACCTGATTTCTTAAATGATGCTCTTACTGGCTTTGATTTTTAAAATAAAATATACACTGAGGACCTCATGATAATTTAGCATTCGTCAATCTGTAGTTAGGCGACGGTTTCATTCAACTTGAAGAAAAGAGGTAATTGGACTACATGATATCTTTTAAAAGGATTCGTTAAATTATTTTTTTCAACGGATTTATCTTGAATCATAAATTACTCCAGTTTTGGTGATCTTAGAGAGAACCTGATCCCAGTTTTAACATCTCCCTATTTCCACACTATATTTTTCAGTTCACTCAGGCGTGATTGTCTTAACATTAAGAGCTGAAGATGACTTAATTGTGGTGACCGGAATAAGCATACAAATTCATAACTAATTAATAAAACAGAACAACATTCTTGATATACGTGTTTCCACTGCATCATTCTCTGAGTGGATTATTTTTCTGCATCAGTGTTCATTTATGAGAACAAAAATATAAAAAAATACATATAGATGTCGAAGTAGATATAAACCATAAAGATCCACGTCACTGACTCTAGATAGCGATATAAAATTATAATAGTCTAGACTTTTAACCTTTTAGAGCTCATATTGAAGTATACTGGGAAGGGAGGAACAGAAAGCTAAGTAGCTTAGTAGATCTATTTTTCTCTGGTGAACTGGAACCTGTATTGGTGTGAAGGCCCATGGAGGAGTTTAGTGCTCCTTTTTCACAGGTACCCTTTTCTGAGCTGCTGTTTTGGCTTGAGGGACTCACATGAACTAAAATCACAGTACCTGAAGGGATCACCAATCCATTAATTATACCCACATGATTTTCATACCTTCATTATAATCATAAATAGCCTAGTGAAGATCCATTGGTGTTCAACAATTCATTTGGTTTTCATCTGATATTTGATCATCTTTTCTACTTCTTGAAAAAGGCAAGAGAATATACACCAAACTCTTTTCATTTAGATTTTTAAAGGGTTTCTGTCATACAGAGTGTATTACTAGGACAAGAAAGCCAAATCATGACAGAGGTAGACAAGATATACACAAGGCAGTGGGTTAGAAAATTAATAATGATGATACTTCATAGTACAGTTTAAAAAGCACATTTTGTATACTTACTTTTAAAATCTTTATAACATTTGAAATTAAAGAATTACCTTCAGTTTAAAGCTGAGCTCTCCAAGTCATAGAGATTAAAGAATTGCCCAAGGTCATGTAGCTAATAAAAGGGCCCTTTTTGGACCAGGCTCTTTGACTTTTCAAAAACAAAACCAAGAAAACTGAGTGCATGTGGTGAGGGTTGATAGACGGTATTCTAGGTTGTGCCAAGCAGTATAAAGTGAGCAGTTCCTACTCAGCTGTGCCTTTTAGGTATTGCTTTGTGACACAAAATGTTCTAGTTTTTCAAGAGAAACAAATAATTCAAGTAGTATCCTTGACTTTAAAAGCAAGCTGTAAAGACAATATTAAAAATATATTTGCCGTCCATATATGTCCTATAACCTTCCATTTTGCAATCCACTACTAAGGCTCCAATTCTGAGTTACTATATTCTATTAAGAGCTCTGGTGATGTAATGTATTATGTATGAATTGTGCTAGGAACCGAAGTATCAACAGTTCAAATCCACCAGATGCTCAGAAACCCTATAGGGGATTACTGTGTGTTGGAACCAACTTAATGGCAGCAAATATGAGGGGTTTTAGTATTCTGATGTTGTTATTCTATAGTAAAATACTGCTATGAATGAATATGCCCATCATTTAACAAATATATCCATCAAAGTTATCAGGAGCTTTCTGATTTGCATATTAAAATCTCTGAAAGATTGGTCCAAGTTGGGTTTTGAGACATAGGACCTAGATATTCCGCTTATGCCTTCTTGTTATTAAGTACCATCAAATCAAGTCTAACTCATAGAGACCCTGCGAACAAGAGATCTGAACCCCATCCTATCCTGTGCCATCCTCACTGTTCCTGACACACTAGAGCCCATTAGGACTTAAAGGGGTGGGGGGAGGAAGAGAGCATGAAGTGCTTAAAAAATAGAAATTTTTTCAATCTGCTGAAACCAGAACTTTTAAAATGTAAAACTTCTGATGTCTTAGGTGATTTTTTTTCTTGGCATAAAATTAAGTATCATCATCTGAAAACGTAGAATAAACGCTTAATCTCCCAGTGACAACTTCCCATTAAGATTTATTGTTGTGTACCATAGATGACCCTCTGGTGGGTTTTCAGAGGCTGTTAATCACTCTAGAACATCTGGTGGCCTCGAACCTTGTGCCTTTGAGATTGCAGTATAGCTTTTTGCCACTAGGCCAACAGTTGTTGTTGTTACGTGCCATTGAGTCACTTGCAATTCATAGCCACCCTATATACAAGAGCCCTAAACCCTGCTCTATGCTGCGCCAACCTCACTGTCTCCAACACACTTACCCCCATTACCCCAGAGACTGAATCAATGCATCTCATTGAGGGTCATCTTCTTCTGTGCTGTTCCTTCACCCTCCCAAACATGGTGTCCCTCTCCAAGGACCGGTCCCTCTTTGTAATATGTCCAGAGTATGTCAGATGAAGTTTCAGAATCCTTGCCTCCAAGGAGCAGTCCAATTTCACCCTCTCTAGAATGAACCTGTTCATTCTCTTAGCAGTCCATGATATATTCAATGCTCTTCTCCAGAACCACAGCTCAAAGGCATCAATTCTTGTTCTATCATCCCTAGTTATTGTCCAACTCTCTGGAGCACAGCAAGCAATTACAAGGATTATGGCCCAGATCAGGTGCACCTTAGTCTCCAGGCTGACATCATTGCTCTTCAGTACTCTGGAGAGGTCTCTGACAGCTGACTTCCCAATGCAATTCATCTCTCGATTTCCTGGCTGCTGGTACCAAGAAGGTTGATTGTGGAGCCAAGCAAACGAAAACTGTTAATTTCAATCTCTTCACCATCCATAATGATGATGCCAATCAGAAATTTAATAAATAAATTTCTGATAATTTTAATTAAAATTTATTAAAATGTACACAGAATAGTGTAAAATTTCAAAGAAACAAAAACATAGGAACTCAAATGAACTTTAAATTCTAGCACTCTGGTTTAGAAAATGCTGTTTTTAAGTTACAGCATATTGTAATAAAATATTTTGAGAACCTGCCAGTTTTTCAAGTTGCTGCTAAAGTTACAGAAAGGACAATACTTTAAACTTCAAACACTCTTTTAACTTTCCATGTAATAATCTTTTTCCTTTTCCAGTCATCTTAGAGGGTAGAAACATGAACACAATTAGATTTTGAGCAAGTTATATGTTAAAGGATACAATAGTGATAAAGGAAATACATGTAAAATTTGCTTTTCAATTGTAAAGATGAGGTAAGTCCTTGTTTAGGAAGAAGCTGAGTACTAGGCTTTAATTATTGAGTCTGGTTATGTTAAATGAAGATGCCCCCTAAGGTCTAGCTGTGCCAGACTGTTGGAAACATGAATTGGAGATAATGCTAGTTATAACTGATATTGATGAGCTCATCAATGCAGTTGAAGGGATCACACAAGTTATGGAAAAATAAACAAGCTCCAAGAATTATGTGCAGAAAAAGATGGAGCTGAGGGTGAGTGGGATGGAGAAAAAGACAATGAAGGGAATATCAAGAAAGAGGAGTTGTAGACATAGAGGAGAATCTGGAGGATATGGTACAGATTCTTCTAAAAGCCTCTGAAGATAAGAGATGAACAATTGAGAAGCAATTGAGAAGTCCATGACCTGGATCAGGTGCACCTTGGTCTCTAGATGACATTCTTGCTCTTGAGCACTCTGTAGAGGTCCTTGATGGCAGATTTTTCCAATGCAACTTGTTTTTTTGGTTTCTGTGCAGAACTGGTACATAGTAAATGCTTGTGAACTATTTATGTGTACTTTTAACATTCAGTGCCTACTATGTAATATGCTCTGATGATATCCCTCTAAGGAAGGTAAATAGGGAACTCTGGTGGCTTAGTGGTAATGAGTACATTGCCAACCCAAAGAAATGTTTGAATCCACAAGCAGCTCTGCAGGAGACAGATGAACATTCTCTTTCAGTGCTATTTAGGGCATCTGAAAATCCACCACAGGGTCAGCTAAGAGTTGGTTCTGACTCAACAAGACAGAACAACATAACAAGGAAATTTTATTTTTAGATCTTCTCTTGAGTTTTATTGGAGTGGGAAATATGCTAAATTAAAAAAAATGGATAAAAAGGTTTTGGCAAATCAGATTAAAAAGAGTGACATAGCAAAACAAATACATTTTCTCCTAGTAGAACTGGAGGCCAGAGATGTGCTTAGATATAGAGATTTTAACGTTAGGTACATATTTGGTGATGTCATCATATAGAACAAGGTAAAGAGTGAGCTGTATTTTATTTGTTTGAACACTTACACTTAAACCCAAAAGGATGTCTTCGGAGGCAGAGAAATTATTCTGCTCTTCATTGTTGCTGGGAATGTATTGTTATTTGTTACCCGAATGCTATTTTTATGTGCTGTTAAGTCAACTATGAATAATAGTTACTCTATGAACAATGGCTTTGACCCTTGCCTTATCCTCAACTAACCCCACTGTCTCTGACACACTTGACCCAGTTGCCATATTCACCATGTCAATCCATCTCATCCAGGTTCTTCCTCTCCTGTGCTGACCCTCTACCCTTCCAAACATGAT